CCAGTAAAAAGAGTTTTAATGCACCCAATTACTCCAGTTGCATGTTAGAAGCACCAAGGTGACAACCCTTCAAGGTTTGACTCCACCTGGAAGACTAAGGACTACTTAAGAAGAAGAAGTACTGCAGTGGTCAGTTCTTGTTTGAAGTCGAGTATAGCAGCCAGAACTGGTGAAAAACCCCTATAGCGTTAGAAGCTTTAGCTCCTCTGGAGTTTTCAACACCCTCTAGTCTGGTCCAGGGGTATACAAATGCAAGAGCTGAACTGATGAAGAGATGGTATTCTTTTTCCCTTGTCATAGTACAGTAACAGAAGTTTTGTTTTCTAATTGGAGGGAGTTGTCTCCCATTTTGGGATAAGAGCACCATTTACTTATTATTATTTATTTTACTGCAGGGGACATCTTGTGGGGCAGAAGAGGTACTGCAGGGGACATCTTGTGGGGCAGAAGAGGTACTGCAGGGGACATCTTGTGGGGCAGAAGAGGTACTGCAGGGGACATCTTGTGGGGCAGAAGAGGTACTGCAGGGGACATCTTGTGGGGCAGAAGAGGTACTGCAGGGGACATCTTGTGGGGCAGAAGAGGTACTGCAGGGGACATCTTGTGGGGAAGAAGAGGTACTGCAGGGGACATCTTGTGGGGCAGAAGAGGTACTGCTGGGGGCAGCTCTTGTTTGAAGGTCAGTATAGCAGGCAGAACATTTTTTTGTAGCGCTAGGCTTTAGTTCATGAAGTCCAACCAAAAACTGAAAGCTTATGGGTATAGGTAGAAGCAAGTAGAACTCCAAATATTCAATTAAAATACAAGCTGTATCATAACTATGTAAACTACACACCTCTATGTAAATCCAGGAGCATGACATTGTATTTAAATCCACAGATTTTTCATGAATACATAGCTGGACTCCAGGGATGTTACTTTCCATGTGCTCAGAGTTTCTTTTTAACGTTTAACTCCAGCCTTCCCTTCAGTCTTGCACAGTTGTACCGCTCCTCTTCTGGACTGAAATGGCTTCCTCTGATTTCACTGCACACTGTGGGAGTTTCACAGTGTGCATTAGAAGATGCAGCAAATCGGAAAGTCCACCTCATTTTCTGGCTGGATGATGTCTAGCATCATTTAGCTCTTTCCTCCCCAGTCTGACTGTCCCTGGCCTACCCTTTTCATTCATTGAATTTCAATCCTTCCATTAGCAGAGGCTTCACATCACAAGTGGGTGTTACCTAGAGCCTGATGAAGGAGCATGCATGTTCCGAATGCGTGCCACGCCTACTGCTACTGTACCTGGAGCTGATATCCCTCCCGTCTTCCCTAAGGATCCACACCGACCAGGAAGTACTGGGATCCACCAGCACAGCCAAGGACAGTGCTTTGAAGACTTGAATGCAGTGGGACCAGCCAGGGGTTGCACAGCGGTTGACACCAGTTTGACAAGCGCTCATTTGACTACTACTATTGTGAGTTGCCAATTTTGTGGAATAAATGATTTTCTTATATTGATGGCACTGCTTCTCTCTCTTTTATGTTACTTAGAGCCTGACTAGGAATTGATTCGCACTACTGCCACTGCGCTAAAATCTTCTTTTATTGAAATCGACCACACAAAAAAAATGACATCCAAAGTACAGTAGTTTGGCGCTTTTCAGCCACAAAGTCTTAGTCATAACCCATAGGCCGAAACACATCAACCTACTGTACTTTGAATGTAATTTTTTGTGGTCGATTCCATAAAAAGATTTTAGCGCGGTGGCGGTAGTGCAGATCAATTTCTTCATTGAGATGTTCAACAGATGAGCAACTGTGGATCGTGCACCTGCCTAGTCGCTGGGATGGACATTTAGTTGGCGGACTGACAACTCATGGGGCAATAGGGGATCATGGGACCCCTGTGTCCTTGCCCAAACTCAAAAAAGCCTATGAAAAAAGGTACCAGGGGCATCTCATAGGGCCCCCTATTGACCCTGGGCCCTCGGGCAGTGCCCGAGTTTCCAAATGGTCAGTCCGCCCCTGGTAGTAGCTCCTTTGTCCTCTTTTTGTTTGCCTACAGCCCGACTGGGAATGCCTACTTCTTCAGACTATTGAGGAAAGTGGAAAGATAGAGCTGGACCCATAGGTTTGTTTTACTGGTATAGTTATCTTAAGGTATTGATATTGATGTGAATCTGGACTTCTTATCAGTGGCGTGGCGCTTCAACTCTTTTTACTCCTCCAGAATGACACACACTCACCAAGCCTTTTTGATATTTGCATAGCTCCTCCAAAGAGCCACCCTACTGCTTGCATCAGGGCTCTAGAAAGGAGTACTGAGGCAGGTGGCTGTGATGACATAAGGAATATTATGTACAGCACCCTGATGGCTCCTTCCACTGGCCATGGTCTGCCTGCATTGCATAGAGAAACACAGAGACCTAGTAATTGTGTCGCTGGGTCTAAAATACGCTATGTTATTTAATAAGGTCATTAGCATGTTGATGAGGAGAGGAGTGGGGGGGCAGGGAAGGTAACACATAAGCAGATTAAACTGCGCTTTAAGCAATAGTTTTGCTCTAATTTGCTCAGCCAAGGAAGCTTTCAAAAAGGGTTTTCTGCATATACACAGCTCGAAACTCATTGCCAAATGTGATCATCTATTTGTGTCATCTTTTATCTCCTTGTGGGTACCAGTCAATCTGCTAACTGGCATCGATGCACTTATCAAAGCATTAATCTTCCCCCAACTTGGCAGGAAAGCTTCTGTCATCTGAATGCGAATGAAGGCAGAGAGGGAAAAAAAAGTACAATGAAAAAAAAAAAAATCCATTAGAGAAGAACGATGGTAATCATTCTCAGCGCAGCCAATGTCCTGTGCGTTTCGGCGAAGGCCCAGGTGAAGAGGAAAATTGAAGGCCTTATGACAGAGACATCTTTGTTACCCATTGTAGTAGTCAGTCCTTTCACTTTGGTATTTGGCCTGGAAACATTAAATGCGGAGGGGACATAAGAACTAACAATTTGTTCTGTACAGAAGGAAATTATGAGAAAACAGCAGTCATGGAGGATCCCCCCGACCGTACGCGTTACGTCCATTACCCATTGTAGTACTCAGTCCTCTCATTTTGGTAATTGGCCTGGAAACATTAAATGTGGAGGGGACAGGAGAGCCGACGCTTTGTTCTGTACAGAAGGTAATTATGAGAAAACAGCAGTCATGGAGGATCCCCTCGACCGCGACCGTACGCGTTTTACGTCCGTTACCCATGTTGGCATCAGGGGCATTTCTAGGTTCCCAAAAGACCTTGAGCACTTGAGAGCACTTAAATGTTTCATAAATGCACTCATAGGTTGACTGAGTGCAGGTAGGAACAGAGCCCAATGTGAGCAACATCTCCGAGCATGGGCTGCCAGGGTACATAAAGAGTGCAGGGTTGGAGGAGGCTCTACTTGCAGACTGCGGGGTTGAGGGGTGCACTTTGTACGATGTGCGGGGTTTGGGGTGCACTGTGTATGGAGTTCAGGGGTGCACTGTGTATGGAGTGCAGGGTCGAGGGGTGCACTGTGTACGAAGTTCAGGGTTACACTGTGTATAGAGTGCAGGGCTGAGGGGTGCACCATGTACGGCGTGCAGGGTTGTATACATAATATACACACACACACACATACATAATATACACATATACATAATATACACACACACACACATACACACACACACACACATATACATAATATACACACACACACATATACATAATATACACACACACACACATACATAATATACACACACACACACATACATAATATACACACACATAATATGTGGAGGAGGCGCAGGGAGGGTTCTGAGCACCCTCCGGGAGAGGAGCAGTGCTTCTGTATTTACAAGTGACAGAAGTGAGCAGTGCCGATGGTGGTGGAATTAAGGCTGAAGAAAAAACCCTGGGGGCAGGTACTTTGGGCCCCACAACAATGACTGGGCCCTGGGCAGCTGCTTCTTTTGCCCTGTGTTAAAGACGGCCCTGGATCACATGATCACAATGTTAGCAAAGCTGTTATGAATCAATTTTCCCTTCTTGGTGAGCTGTGATTGGCCCACAGCTACCACATGGCACATGGGCCAATCACAGCACCCTGTACCATGTGATTAGCTGTAGCAAATCACAGATCACTAGTATTTGTACTGTCATGATAAATAGTAAAAAATCATGAAAAATAATAAAAAAATAAAAAAAATTAAAAAGAAAATTTTTGTAAGGGTTTTTTTTGACTACTTGCCAACTCACTTCCCTCAATGTGTGGGCAAGTGGAAGCTCTGGGCAAAGGTATGTACCCTTACATGGCTTTCAATTTCCAAGTGTGCATGTGCAAGCGTGTGCGCCCCACGGTCAGTCCAGGGAGAGAAGAGAGAACACCACATTTTACATGCACATGTTAGATAGCACATTTAACCCTTTGATCTCCCCTATTAACCCTTTGATCACCCCGTCACCCAACCAGTGCAATCAATACAGTGTCAGTATATAGAATTTTTCGCTGATCACTGTGTTACTGCCACTAGTGACATCAGTTAGTCTGTAAGTGCCTCTCCCAGCCAGGGTCAGCTAGCGTTCGATTGCCCGCACACTATTGCACTCACGCTATAGGTCACTGATCATTACTAGTATAGTGTTTCTACGGATCAAGATATTGATCAAAACCATTCTAGTGCCCTCTTAGTATAGTGTCCCTAAAAATTCAGTGTTAGCAGGAAATTTTTTCTGTTATTTTCCAAAAATTTGTGGCAAAAAATAATGTTTTCCATGGACTCAATATGCCTCTCAGTAAATTCTTTGGGGTGTCTAGTTTCCAAAACGGGGCATTTGGGTGGATTTTGTACTGCCCTGGCATTTTAGCACCACAAAAGTAAAAGCTGCATAAAATTGTAATATATATACACCATAGTTTATGTTAAGAGCCACCTGGCAGTGTCTCTAGCAGCCCACAGCACGGATTTCCTCAGGACGCGGGGTATAAGTCCCAGCCTACTATTCACCAGGGCCCCTGATGGTGGGGATGGACTTGGTGCAGACTGGAACCAGGTCGCGACCCCTGAGCGCAGCCGGCAGTGGTAGAGGGCACTGGCAGGGGAGTGTGGGAACGGAGTCTGATGGGAAGAGGCAGGCAGACTTACTAACAGTGCATGATCCGTGCGGGATGGATGGGCCGGGTCGGTATGGTGCGGGCAGCGAGGTACAAGAGGAGCAAGCAGAGAATGGTCGGGGTCACAAGCCAGGTTCAGCAGGTTGCGGGCAGCGCGGTACCAAGGATCAGGTAAAGAATCGTCAGGCAAGCCAGGGGTTAATCAGGAGAATAAGCAGGGTCAGGTACAAGCAGAGGTCGGCAACGGTATACACAGGAACACAATATCAGGAACAGAGCAGGTAAGACCAAACGGCAATTGACATACCTTAGTTCCTTGTTTAAATAGCCCAGCCTGCGCTGCCAGGCACGTGTCCGCGATCGCGAGTGAGCGAACACCGCCGCCAGGTCCTGTCGCTCGTTGGCTAGTGAGGACTGGTGTTCTGCGCATGCGCTGCCCGGCGCGATGCTGCAGAACACCCGCGTCCTGACAGTTTGTAGACGCTATAACTTTCACACAAACCAATTAATGTACGTGTATGTTGGGATTTTTTTTTTCTTACCAAAGACATGTAGCAGAATACATTTTAGCCAAATTTTGACTAAATTTGAGTTTATTGGATATTTTTTATAACAAAAGTAGAAATGTTTTTTTTTCAAAATACAAAAAAAAACAGTGGCGATCCACTATCACCAAAAGAAAGCTCTATTTGTGTGAAAAAATGACATAGATTTTGTTTAAGTAAAGCTTTGCAAGTACCAGTTGAAATAGCATGGTGCCAAATAGCAAAAAAATTACCTGGTCAGGAAGAGGGGAAAACCTTTCAGGGCTGAAGTGGTTATAAAAAATTCGCTGAACGAATATCACACACCTTCGGTACAGTCTGAACTAATTTTCCCTGTATTTTCTGTAATAGAGTCATTCCTATGATTGTCAGTGGCCAAAATGTAATATTTTTTTTTATTGCGGTAGATCAGAAGCCTATACTGCTTCCGGCCACTAGATGGAGCTGACGATCACAGGAATTATTCTATTGCAAAAAATACGGTGAAACGTCACCCCGCCTGCACGAATGCACGCAACATATGTTATATAAATAGACCCTTTACCGTGTCATCAACCAAATTTTGAACAAAACAGAATCGACTTTGCTGAAATGATTTGGATGGGTCTGGGCGAAAACTCAGATTGAAGGAAAATAGATAAATATATTCATTAAAGGGTATGGTCTTTTCAATCTCCCGATTGTATTTTTCTCCCGGACAGTAAAATCGATCGATAATATGACTATATATAAAAATCGTTTAGTGTATGACCACAGAACAGCAATAGAGAAAAATCAAATCCCCTGCCCTTCTGTGTGACGGAGCTGTGTAAATGTCAGGACCGGATGTATTGAACTACTCTTATAAAAAAAATGTGTTTAGACTTTACAGTTTTTCTTTTAGACCCTCAGTGATTTTTTTTTACAATGCCTGCTAGACTGTATGTATCTGCTGTCTATGTGCGTGCCCGCAGGCAGGCAGAGCGTTAAATATTCTTTATTGCGTGCTGGAAATAAGAGCGAGGCTTTCTTCTGGGTGCTGGCACATTGTTCAGTGCACCCAGCAAGTCCCCAGCCCACTCCAACAGGAAGAGCCGTGACTGAGCCCACTGGGGGATTATCCGTGAGGGGGGGTGAGTGGGCGTGCGGGGAATGACTGTAAATGCATGTTTGAGATGAGGCCGTCCTGTGTGTGTTCTGGTGATCTCACCAGCCGGCAGCAGGGAAGGGAAACCGAAAACGGAGCCAGTTCCAGATTATCATCAGCACCTATTAGATCGAAGTTTATTTACGGGGCATTTGTTACAGCCATCGGATGCAGCCAATTGGTATAATTGGACCCGTATATGGGGTACGAACCAGAATGCAGAGAAAAGAGAATCACAGTCAGTAGACTCACAAAACATAAAAGGAGGGTTTTGTTCACTTAGCAAAGTGAATGTTCACTGAGCTTAATGAATAGGGTATCAATCAATCATGTGCTCCCATGTTTTTTTTTTTCCTCTACATGTTTACAATTCGTAATTATTATTTTACAAATATTTATTTTTAACTTTTTGTAAATTTTCATATTTTTATTTTATATTTTCCAACACACAACTGGGTATCCAAAATACACCTTTTTACAATTTATAACGTTTTTAAATTATTTAATATTTTACAATCATTTCTTTTACAATTATTTATATTACGATAATTTATTTCTACAGTTTTTAAATTTCCCTACATTGTTTACAATCTTTTATTTCCCAACACACAACTGGGTATCCAAAATGCAGCTTTTTACTATTTTTAAAGTTTTAAAATATATTTTTCAATTATTTATTTCTATTATTTTAATATTCCTTATGTTTTTACAATCTTATATTTCCCAACACGCATAACTGGGTATCCAAAATGCACCTTTTTACAATTTTTAACGTTTTTAAATTTATTTTACAATGATTTATTTCTACCATTTTAATATTTTCCTATGTTTTTACAGTCTTATATTTCCCAACACACAACTGGGTATCCAAAATGCATCTTTTTCCAATTTTTAAAGTTTTTAAAAGGTTTATTAATATTTTTACAATTATTTATTTTACAATGATTTATTTACAAATTATTTAGTTCTACAATTTTTAAATTTCTCTACCTTTTTACAATCTTATGTTTCCCTACACACATAATTGGGTATTCAAAATGGACACAAGTTCACAGTTTTACATTTTGACAATTGTTAATATTTTACAGTGATTTATGTTACAATGATGTAATTCAAAATTATTTTACAATTACTTTATTTAAAATTTTCCTACATTTTTAGTGTCATATTAACCTACACACATAACTGGGTATTCAAAATGAAGAAAAAGTTCATCTTAATGCGAAGTTCACCTTTTGTTTTACAATTTTTTAAATTTTTACATTTATTATTGCTTTACAATAATAGTAAAAATGTATTACTACTTTACAATAATTTTTGTAATTGTTAACTTGGTCTTTGTTCCTGAGATCTTCCCACTGATCCTCTGATACTTCCAGTGACGTCATTTCTGCCGATGCATTCCGCACTGGTTGTGCGGCCATTTCTGGGTTACAGACGCCGTTGACATCCTCATTGCACTCCATTACATCCTCATACCAAAGACAGATCCTCTCTACTGCACCCTGGCTCCAGCTGTCATTCTGGCATGTCAGTACCCTTCTGTTCCTTCCAGGTCACGGCTCATGCGCATATTCTTTTTGGAAAAACGATCGTATGATTTGACCATCGAGTCGAGCAAATATTCCTCTGCAGGCACTAAATCCCTGGGCCACCACCATAACTGGAACCAGTTCCTATAGTCATAGGTCACTAGTATGCTCTCTATACAGTCTCCAAAAAAGGAGGAGAGAGGAACCACTCACCAGTTTGGTGGAGCGGGGATTATGGTGTGGGGTCGTTTTTCAGGGGTTGGGCTTGGCCTCCAGTGAAAGGAACTCTTAAGGCGTCAGCATACCAAGACACTTTGGACAATTTCATGCTCCCAACCTTGTGGGAAGAGTTTGGGGATGGCCCCTTCCTGTTCCAACATGATTGAGCACCAGTGCACAAAGCAAGGTCCATAAAGACATGGATGAGCCAGTTTGGGGTGGAGGAACTTGACTGGCCTGCACAGAGTCCTGACCTCAACCCCATAGAACACCTTTGGGATGAATTAGAGCGGAGACTGCGAGCCAGGCCTCCTCCCCCGACATCAGTGCTTAAACTGACAAATGTGCTTCTGGAAGAGTGGTCAAACCTTCCCATAGACACCATCCTAAACCTTGTGGGCGGCCTTCCCAGAAGAGTTGAAGCTGTTATAGCTGCAAAGGGCGGGGCCAACTCAATATTGAACCCCACGGACTACAGACTGGGATACCATGAAAGTTCATGTGCGTGGAAAGGCAGGCGGCCCAATTCTTTTGCAATATAGCGTATTTCTAGGACGCACCTCTAGGCAGGGGCGGACTGACCAATTGGAAACTCGAGCACTGCCCGAGGGTCCGGGGTCTGTAGGGAGCCCCATGAGATGCCTCTGGTACCTTTTCCATAGGCTTTTTTGAGTTTGGGCAAGGACACAGGGGCCCCATGATCCCCTATTGCCCAGGTGCCCCATGAGTTGTCAGTCTGCCCCTGCCTCTAGGTACTTTCACTTTATACTTTCAACAGTTTCCTCTTCTGCCCACCAGTGACAAAGTCTCTTCAAGACTTTGGCTTGGTAATATTAGCTGGGCTATATGCTGTAAGACCTGGCAACCTACCCTGTAAAATAATTGCTAAGGGAATTCATGGAAAAAGTCGCTAACGAGTGACAGTCCATGCAATCGCCAAGGGTCTGATATGACTGAATAGATAGATAGATAGATAGATAGATAGATATGGTGTAACTACAGGATGTGCAAACAGTGTGAGACCTATAAGTCTACGGACCCCAAGGATAACTGCAAATGCTTATTTTCCAGCACTATGGACTACACTACTCACAAAAATATATACCAATTTTTTTTTTTTTTTGAAATGTTAAAAACTTTCTTCCCTAAAACACCATTCACACCTGCGTGATGAGCTTTAGTGTGATATTTCAAGCTCTTTTTGCATGCTTGTCATGCTAGAGCATAGGGCGTTCCATTCACTTGAATGGGCTGCCTTACGCACAACAAATGACCAAAGTAGCTCATGGACCTTTTCTTGAGTGGTGAGCCTTGCATGTTTTTGTACTGCATGTTTTGGTGCATTTTGTCACACAGTAAAATTGGCATCTTCTAACCCATATCATCAAGAATTAATGACACTGTAGGCGCTATGAATGTTTTGGCGTGATGGCACAGATGTGAATGGGCCGATGGTAGAACCCTTGGATTTTTAGGAACATCAATGAGAAAGGATAGTACAGTAAATTGATAGGTGAAAAGATGGCAGAACAAGGCTCTTCTGTAAAGACAGTAAGCTGCTGCCACCTTATGGTGCAATGGTGGTGATGGCCGTGTGAAGCTTTCATTCATACAAAGCTCAGCGCAGTTCTATGGGATCATTCACACTGGGAGCATTTTCATTCATTCTCTCGGATTTTCCAGTGCAGGCAAAATGCATGAAAAGGAGAACATCTGTTCAGCAAGGCTTGTTACACAAACATGCAGCATGGACTTTTGTGGAGCAAAATCCATCAGATATTTTGGTGCATTGACCTGAAATTTCTTAATGCAGTCAACAG